GACAAAATGCAGAGGGAGTTCCTTTTATGGAGCTTGTTTTACTTTTTTACGGTATTTATCAGGGCTGGGTCAATGCATGCTTTTGCCAGAAAAATAATATGATCAACCTGTGGACAACCGGTAAAAATAACAAAATGTCTAGTTTTCTTAAGCAGCTGGAATTTAACATCTATACGTGTGTGTATGTAGCAATACAGGGTAAACCCAGACATAAAGTTTTTCCCTCTTTGTGATTCTTAAAAAAACTTCCTGATCCAGAATATGAAAGTGAGTGTGTATTGCTTAATGCAGCAAAACCGCAGTCTGATTTTAGTCTGAACTTACTTAGTTACATTTGCTATCACAACCCTTTATGTTATTTTCATAAACAGGAAACATATTTGCTGATTTTTACTGGCGGAGAAAGCAGCAGCTTCTCTGCAAACATGAAAGGATCCCAAATATTACAACTGTTGAAAGCCAATATCGGCCTATAGAGTCATTCTGCACATGCTCGTATTCGGAGGCGCTGCCGTTACATTCATTAAGATGCTCGTTTTCTGCTTAGAGCAAATATGGCTAAGAAGAGGATGCACAAATATATGAACTGAGACCCCACTGAGGGCTTATTCTTCTCTTTGCCTTCAAGCAAAGGGTGTATTGTGACTGGCCAAGCCCACCCTGGCCATTGTGATACAAATAGGCAAGTCTGTGCCTCATGACTATCATTTTGCGAGGGCACCTAAGACTGCTGTCAGAATTTCACAGGTGCCCATTGGTCTCAAATGACCTCTAGCCTATGTGCTAAATTATGGTTCTCAACCAGAAAAAGGGGCACAAAATCAGGCAGATACTTCCTGCCTTATTCCAGATTCTGCAAATGCGAGGTTTTCTTTATGGCCAGGAAGACTCTTTCAGTCAGAGGATGAAGTCACCCATCCTTATTTTTGAAGGATGCCTGTGTTGCCATGACGGGATTCAGGCTTGAGAGGAGGTTTAAAAAAAGCAATATGATGGCTGAGACCATGGACGCCATCTTAAATTTTTTGACCCCCCCCACCCCCATTTCTGAACATAAAGCTTTTGAGCATAAGAGATCTCTGCTGAAGGGTTTTCTCTTCATTGTGATGTCATTTCTTCATCTTTTTGTTTGTCCACGTGCAAAGAGAGCAGAGCGTGCCAATAAATTCCAACCCATCCTTTCCTTGCAGGCTGTGTCTTAAAAATTAAGGTGTACTTACTTATCTCTAAAGATTATTTTAAAAGAGACAAGTGTCAAGGTTGTCAATAAAGACAATTCTTAGGGCTGGCAACTTAGTTTGCCTATGTTAATCCCTCTTTCAGTGTGTTAAATAAAAATGAAATAAAGTACAGTAAAATAAAATAAAATAAAATAAAATAAAATATAGATTGGGCCAGGGAGCCTGTCATATACCAAGAAAGAAATCTGCAAACACATTGCAGTCAATATCCTACATTGTCTCAGTCTGATTTAGCATGATGCCAAAAGAGATCGCTGCCTTTCCGTTTCCATAAATGAGAATTAAATTATTATCTTTCTCTCTCTCTTTTTATAGACAAATGGCATTGTGGCACTTATAATTATCCTTATTTTGTTACTCTTGCTGGGGATTGCTGCCCTGTGGTGGTTTTGGCCTCTGTGTTGCAAAGTGGTGAGTAAAATCCTTCGTCTCTGTGTACCCACATGGCTCTTGCATATCTATAGTCTTCAGTCAGTTTTGGTGAGTGGTGTGGCCGAGGTAGGAATATTGATTTGCTAGTAATCAGGTTGGAGATGGTTATGCTAGGGTTGGACTGACTGAGGCATCTTGCGACTGAATGCAAATAAAAATAGCAGATTGGGACTACCCCATGTTTGCAACTAGCACTTTGGAACTACAGGCTGATCAGCAAGATCTGTTAATTGATTGACTTCTGGAGTTTATACTCCTCCACTCTTCAGGGCTAATTAGCATTCCCTTGTATTCCCTACAGAACAAATTAAAAAATGAAAACATGGAACTGGGTTTAATATCGGGATCAATCCCCCTCTATCCCTAAAAGCCAGTAGCTCTTCTTGTTAGTCGATAGAGGTGCTGTGAGAAAACAACACTGAGTTCCGAACTGTTACTTTATCCCAAAGCATAGCCTTTGAGGTAGCTATTGTTAGCCCAAGAAAAGGTACCACATTTTATTGCAATGATGGTATATACACTTATAATTATTGTAACTTTGACTCCTGCAGTCTTTTCCGTATTTCGGTCCTGGAACAGTGTAAGCTGACATTCTTTTTCAACAACCAGTATTGTTGCAGTTAAGGCCCAGTTTTCACCATTTTAGTTAAGCTGTGCCTGCCTGCATAAATATTGCAGGATATGAATAGAACAAAATTGCAATGAAGGAGGAAGATCCCCTCCCCCCCCCCCCCCCCCCCAACATTCAGTCTTCCTTGTTGGCAGTAGCCAGTTGGCGTCTAGTGTGTCAGAGGAATTGGGGCATACTGTTTAATTGTTGGCAGGAGCCAGTTGGTGATTTTTATTTATTTATTTTTAATTTGATCTACAGTCCATGCACATCTCCAGGTTGCCATTGGTTTTTCGTTTTTCTTTCTCTTTTGTAAAAGAGTTGGCTGTTGACAGTTTGTTCACTCTTTCGTGAACGTTAGAGAACATCTGACTGCATCAAACTGGCTTTGGGCTCTGGTGCTGACATTTCGTAATGCCCACCTCGTTCGAGCATTTGAGAAGTGTTAATGAGCACATCAAGGGACTGTTGCCTGAAGCAACTCATTTATTAAAAAAAACGAATTCAATATCTTTATCTGTCTATCTGCCTATCTGCCTATCTACCTATGTATATATGTATGCATCTATCTATCTCTCTGTCTGTCTGTCTGTCTGTTTATTTATCTATTATGGGGGGAAACCGGCTGTGTTCTGAAATGAAGTCTTAATTCCCCTCCTCCCCCTTCTTTGGCTAAATAAACACCCAGCAGCCTGTTCTTGACAATGATAATAATACCAAACCCTAAAAATTGGAGAAGACTCAAACTCTGCATATGGTAAACAAAATGGCGATTTAGTCTCCTGGGCTCTTGAGATGGTGTTTAAGAAATGTGAATGAAACAGAAATACTTGACATCTTGGCAATATTATGTCTTTTAACATGTGCAAGTTCTCAGGATGAAGAAGTTGCATACGCTCTTCCTTTGCCTTCCTGCCCCCAAAAGATAAGGATGGCTTCCTGAGCCTGTTTTGAAAGAAAAGATGGATCTAAAGTAATTTAAGGGCATCACACACTTTCAGGAGGATTCCAGCCAACTGTTAATAAAGTTTATTTAAGTAAATTACTTTAGGGAGGAGAGGTCTTAGCCATCTTTATTTCTTTTGGAGAGTGTTATGGGTTAAGTGTTGCACCCAGTTTGAAAAAAAATGGTATAACCCTAGTTTATATAGATGAAACCAGATCCGTACCATGGAGTATAACATGGTTGGCCAAAGGCCCTGCAACAACGAAGAACTTGGGACTTGCTGCTGTCAACATTCACAGAGAAGCAGCATGGACCCAATTGGCAATTGGATCTCATTATCTGGAAGGGCACCATTACTTGCAGCCCATGGAAAGCCCTGAGTGGTGGCCCCATTCTGTTTAAGTAAAACAAGCTTAGAGCAGGATACCATCTCTTCTGAAATTTCATTGGCTCCAGCTCTGCCGGTCTTCTGAAAAGCTTCAAAGACCTGGATATGTTCCCAGGTATGGGAATCAGGAGGTGAGCTGCAGCCTGTGGGGTGTTCTTAGTTTATTAGATTTGGGTTTTTTTCCTTTGGTGGTCATTATAGGTTTTATATCTTGGTCATTTTTTTCTTGTCATTTTATATGGTGTGTTTATCTGCCCAGAGTCACTGGTGAGACATAAATCTAATTAATTATATCTAAGCATCTTTACAGTCACCCAACAGTTGTTCTGCCAGTCTAACAGTCATGGGGACAAATTATCTCTTACCTTAACCATGGCTAGTCGATTCTGGAGGTGACTAGTGGAGAAGTACCACAATCAGAATAGTATGTTACACTGTGGTTTTAAATTGATCTTTGTCATTCTGTCCTTTATCATCTAATTTGTCCCCTTCATTAATAGGTTATTAAGGATCCTCCTCCACCCCCACCTCCAGCTCCAATAGAGGTAAGTTAACAGACTGCTCCATGCCTTGCTATTTACAAAAGTAGTTCCACCATGTTGCCAGTGACTCAGAAATACAATTTAAGGATGACATGACTTGATTCCTTTATCTTATGAAGTATCCCTTTTCTTCTCCTGTTATGCAGTAGCTGGTGATGTTAAACTGAATATACGTAGGGTGGGAGCACTTGAAGGAGGAAGAACCATAAATAAGTCGATTATCTCCAAATAACCATTTTTATTTATTTTTCCCTATTCCTGGGACAGAGTAGTAAGTGAATTTTGCATGTTAGAAAAGGGAGGCTGATAAATCACAGGTGTGGTTAATAGTGTGGCAGCCTGCTGTTCACAGCAATGTATATATCTGCCCTAAGAGGATGTTAGGAGTTCATATTTAAGACAGTTCAGCCATGTTTTTACTGTGTTAGCCACTCTCAAAGGCTGGCCTTCTTGGAAAGGAATCGTGGGTCCAAATACACTTGTGGAATCCTTTGGTAAAGAGTAGATCTCAAGTGTCAACACAGAATCCCGTTGGGAGTTTTTTCTCATGCGATGGGAGCTCTCTTTTCAAGCCTTGAAAGAAGGTGTTTTTTATTGTTATCTCTGGGCACAAACCTGACCAGGAATTGTGGTAGCCAACTCCTAGTAAAACATAAGAACATAGACATGTGCAGACACATTTATACATAGACACACATTCACAGAGGCAGATCCAGAGACTGTGACAACTTCTTCACTCTCTCTCTACGGCTGTGCTGAAAATCAGGCAAGACTATCTACTGGTGTGGGGGTGAAATGGAGACTTAAACCTCAGAATTTAGAATATGGAATGTGGTGTCAAAGCTTGCTAATTGCTATATTTTGCTTTATTGTCTTATTTTACGTTCCTGGAGTATTTCAGAAGTTTGTTATGTTTTTACTACAGAAGAAAGAAATATTCATTCTGGTTTCAAAGGAACTTTGTCTCATGAGTTTTCCTCAGTATAGGTAGAAGCAAGTAGAAACAAAGCTCATTAGGTCCCATAGCAAGCTTCTAGTAGGAAGGAAATGGTATCTTCTGTAACTTACCCATGGGCTACCCTACCCCTCAATAATCAAGTGGGAACTGGAAAGAGGGGTATGGTTAGACCTATTAAGCTGACAGGGTTAGGACATTTAGTGAAATCTATTTTAACAGACTAAAGAATGTCTGGAGAAAGAAGGGTCTGTTGTCCCCCAGAGTTTGGTAAATTAAAGAGTACATGACTGCAGCAATGGGAATTTACATGATTTGTGTGATGATGTCATCCCAATGATGTCATTTCTGTAATGATGTCATTATGCCAGTGAAGTGTATTCACAGTGGAATTTCGTCTGTTGTATGTGAAGCCTGTTGCCCAGAAGTCCAGAAAAATCCAGGTTTCACTGCATTGTCTGTATGTGTACACACACTAGTGTATGTAAACACACCACATCGGGTTACTTTGATGAAGATGTTCTTGGGGAGGGTGAGAATTAAACAGAATAGTTCTTTTGCCTTATGAACTCTAATGTTTATTAGCTCCATCCTACTTTTTTTTTTTTTTGGCAACATAATTGATTATGTTGGACCCCTGACTCTTTGGGATTTCTCATAAAATTGTGTAATCATATGCATCAATTTTAGCTGGATATCCAAATGGGTAGCAATAAATAAAGGGGTGGGGGGAGCTAGTTGGTTAGAGCACAGCGTTCCTTTTTATATGGTACACTCCGTTAGCTAGATTGGTTATCCCGAAGCGCACAGGTAAAGTGTTCCTGTGTTGCTGAACAGGAATTGGATCGTAATAGGCACTTCAAAATGCATTCCGTTGCAAATTGATTTTCCTTGCACATAACCAGAATGCTCAGTTTATGCATTCTGTGGGTGAGGATGCCAGTGGCGGGGCGGGGGGGGGGGGATTACTTGACAATTCACAGAATATTTTATTCAGTCTCCCCACCAAACAGTATTGTAAACATGGTCGTATCTTCTGATCAGGCTGTATTAAATGCCTTGCACCTCTTTATTTTTGCTTAAGTGCTTCTGTTTGATAAACCCCATGCTAGTCCTACACATTGTTTTTCCCTCTGTACGTTCAGAGAGATGTTCCTAAAAGAGATGTTAGGGCACATTTGCAGTGCAGCCAGTGTAATAATACAAAAATAGTGATGATTCCCTCTTCCTTAGAAACTGCAGAGAATTCTCTGCCCTTCTTTGGGGGAAATTATAACTGCAATCAACCAAAGTTGGCTAGGCATGTAAAACAGCCTCCCCCAGCGTGGCGTCTTCCAGATGTGTTGAGGCTGCAGCTGCAATTGTAGAATGGCTACTGGCCATACTGGCAGAGGAAGATGGGAGCTGTAGTGCCAACCCCTTTGGGGGAAGGCTGCAATAGGGGGTGCTTGAATACACACCCAAGTTCTTTCCCCAAATACATTATTTTCTTTCTAAACCAGCTGGCATGGAGGGTTGGGAAAGATGTTGGCTTGCTGTGAGCCCTTCATTTCAAGCAAGGGCAGTCAGAAGAGCAGCAGTTCTCTTTTCCCTCGTGCTGCCCACCCCAGAGGAGGCAGGGGTGACTAGTGGACTGCAACTTGCCCACCCCAGCATGCCCAGATTTGAATGGACTTAGCGATGCATGTATTTTGTTCATGATGAGGATGGGCTGCACAGGCTGAAACGTGCCACGTATTTTGCTAGGACTGCAGCTCAAAAGGCTGGATCAGAAGAAGAGGCAGATCTCGTATTTACAGGGCAGCAAGATGAGCCTTATTTAAGGTGACCTTGCAAAGGAGTGTTATGTTGAAAGAAAAGGTTTATTTCCCAGTGGTATCTGTGGGAGCGCCAAAGAGGAGCAGATGGATGGAAGCCGTGTTGCCCCGTTGTCATGCAAGCCCTGCCTCTCTTGTACACGCCTTGTGACATCACACAAACGCCCCAAAGAGGCCGAGCTTATGTCGCGGGGTGCCGCTTTCACCGTTTTGACGAACGGAGGAAGGATCTGTGGGTGCCCATGCTGTGCCACTTAGCACATTCTCAGCGAATTGCAACGCATATCTCCTGTTTTTAAATGTGCGTTATTTGAAGTGAACAAACCAGTCTTCTTTTTGGAGAAAGACATCTCACATTCCTGGAAGAAGGCATTAGCAAACCACTTCCAAGGATTGATGAAAAAACTACAGAGAGATGTCTGTGCAGTCACAGTTCAGCTCAACTCAAGGAATCTTTACCATTTTTTTTAAAAAAATTCAATATTCAGAGGGTTCATGAGAGCATTTCAAATAAGCTTTTTATAACCTGATGCCCTCCTGATATGTTGGACTGCAAATCCCAAAGTTCCCAGCTAGAATGGCCATATGGACTGTGAATTCTGGAAGTTAAGTCCCCCAAATTAGAAGGGTAGCAGATTGTGGAAACTTTGCTGGTCCATAACTCATTTTAACTATAGCTATGACACTGATTTTGGTGTCTTTGCTGTAGGTTTTGTGCCTTCATTTAATGGAAATGTTTTAAATCATGAAGGTCTGTTAAAGACCATATTTAAGCTGTGCTATAGATGTTGACAATTTCATTTAATTTGTTGGGGGAATGATTTAATTAAAAAACCTCTTATCATGAAAAAAGAAAAAAATAAAGCAACAGGTTTTCTGCTGTTTCTTAGCTTGCAGTAGAACTAACATTTCAAGATTATTAACCAAGTAGTTCAAAATACATGTGCAGTATGTAGGAAGCTTCTCAACAACCATTAATTTGACATTTATATTACATGCCAGAGGTATAGCCCATTGTCCTTAATATCTTCCTTTGTTTCCCACTATTTTGTCTCATGTCATTCTCAGGAAAAAAATTGCCTGCAAGTAAATTGGTTTTAGATATTTAAGAGGAATTTTGTTACCTTCTCAAAAACCAACATTAACTGTTCCCCCACAAAAAATGTTCTTGGATTTTTTGCAGGAGGAAGAAGATCCTTTGCCTTCAAAAAAATGGCCAACAGTAGATGCTTCCTATTATGGTGGACGAGGAGTTGGTGGAATCAAAAGAATGGAGGTCCGTATTGTGGAGTGTGCGCATGGCAGTATGAGATGGAACATCTCATATGAGTTGAGGGGGAGGCAGCTTCCCATTTTGGATGGGACATACTGACAGTTACCATTGTGCTGTATTGCTGGTTATAAAGCTAAGCCAGAGCAACTGGGCTTCTGCTTTGGTGGGGCAGCAGCTGAACCTTCTGAATTGGTGATTATTGCAAAACATTGTGTAGCTTCCATGGAATCTGATGGATTTGGAAGAATGTAAAATGTCAAGAGATGAAGCAGCCTCTTTGGGGCTGTTATATTATTGATTAATTATATGGTTTTATGATTATAAAGTACACTGCCTTGAGTCCTTTTGGTAGAAAGCAGCTGTGACTTTGGGTTCTCCTCCAGGAATTGAGGTGGAATAGCAATTGTATCAATGCCTGCAAAGGATTATGACCTCATTTGGATACACTGGGTGGTCCACTGTTTTTTTCACTGGTGTTTTTTCACTTACTTGCCCTCTACAGCAACTCCACGCTTGCAGTGCTGTGCTCATCCAGATGGACTGGTTACATCTGGTAAAATGAATAAATAACATTTCAACAATAACAAATAACAATAAACAATTTATGTTTATTGTTTTGAGGTGATATTGGCTTCGGCATCACTTCTTCTTTCAGCAGTTTCATATCAGAACCTAAAAGTGCAGGTGTGAGGGTCAGAAATAGTTTGAAGAAAAATGGATGGGGTGATATATTTTCTTCTCTTCCATAATCTAATATTACTGAATGAAATTGATTGATGTATAAAAGAGCACAGAAAAGACAGTGGTTCTTCATACAGTGCATCATCAACATGCAGAATGAATATCTTGCAGATGTGAGGTTTGTCACTAACTTACAGAACAGATCCAATGGAAATTAATGGAAAACAGATCCAAGAGAGAACTAAGCTATACCATCAGAGATATATATTTTCAAATATGCGTTGCTGGGGATTATCATTGAGCCTCACTTGTTGACTTCGTGCGATTGGCCACGGTTAGGAACTGGATATAGAGACTGGATGAACTTTTTTTAATGAATTGGACTGCAGAGGTACCCTTGTAGGATTTCCCCCCCATAAATAGAACAATTTTGGGGATCTTCCCATAGTTTAGGGAAGAGCTGATTCCATCATTTCATTAAAACCTTGAATAACAGAGAGGCTTGTTTCAAGCAATTGAATGCCAAAGAAACAATAAGTCTTTTCAAGTCAATTTTAATCATTTTGGGGAAAAATATATAGTACTCTATGAGTATTCTCATTGTGTGCCAGCCAAGTACTCTTACAAGGGTGATATTTATACTAGAAGCTGTGCTTCTTCTGCAGCTGGAGCAGTTTTGACATGATTCAGAACTCCTAAGTTCATGTAGCAGGCAGAGATAGGCAAGGCATTATCTCTTAGCCTCAGGTCCTCAACTGTGATAGTAACATTGGCTTAGGAGTAAGGCACGTAAGGATGGTTGAATCTGAATTCTGACACTCTCAGAACTCCCATGGGCATCAAAACTGCTTCTTTATGAATCTTGTTAAGTTTGCTTCTTGCTTCTTTGGAGTTTGGGGTTTTACAGTTTCAACATATTGAGAAAGATTGTGGGGGAGCTGTGAAAGGAATGAAAGAGAGCAGCAGACAAGTCAAATGATAGCTTATCTTATAAAAGGTAATTCAGGCGAGGTGGGGAGACATCTGGGAAAAATCATTTCAAAGTATTCAAAGAGACCCTGCCTTAATTAACTCACTATAAATGAGGCTGGGAAATTCCTCCTGTAGTTTCCAAGATAGTATATTTATCCCAGATGAGCATTTAAGATACCTTCCTGAAATATGGGCAGTTCTTGCTTTCCTGGTTTTGCCCAGCTTTGTGGAATGTGAAACATATTTGGAGAGTTCCAGATTGGGGAAAACTGAAATAGAGCAATAATACCCATCATGAGTATGGGAATATTTTCTGGAGAATTATACTTGACTAACCAATCAATGTAGCTACGTTGACTCTGGATGATAAGGGGAGCATGCATCTTGTGTTCATGTGCATGCTAGTCTGATACTGAGACTTGATTTCGTTAGGTTCGTTGGGGTGACAAAGGATCAACTGAAGAAGGAGCCCGGCTAGAGAAAGCAAAAAATGCAGTGGTGAAACTCCCTGATGAATCAGATGAGCCAGTTCTATCTAGACCACCAAAACCAAAGCCTACCTCATTGCCCTCCCAGGAAAAATGGTACACGCCGATCAAGGTACTTGATAAATCCTTCATCGTTGAATACCATGTTTGCTTTGTACTTGTATTATGGGTCAAATTATGGCTGATCTTAAAACAGCTGGATAGCCTAGGCACTTATAACATTCAAAATAGGAAAATATCTTTAAGCCCAACATTTGACAAAGCTGCAGAAGGTAAAAAGGTCCTTGGCAGGTAGAAATCCTGGCAGCCTAGATTTTTATTTGTAAGATTTCCTATAGATAGCTCTGTCTTCTCAATAGAGTCCATAGAGCACCCTGGGCCATCCCATTGTTTAAAGCATTGCAACCATTACAGTGGAATACCAGGTTTCATGGACTCTGTATTCAGCCTTTACTCCACCAGCACTCCCAGCCACATAAGCGACATCACAGACTTCCTACGAAGACTGAATTCCATTGACAGTCTCCCTAATAACACCATTTTAGCCGCCAACATCCCCTACAAACCTGGACTTAAAGCCATCAAGAACATCATCACTGATGTCAACACAGCATACATTGCCACTAAACTTTGTGGTTTTATCCTCCCACATAATTACTTCACCGTTAGCAGTTATATATAATTGCAAATCAGTGGCACAGCCACAAGCACACTCACAAATTGGCAACCTGTTCGTGGCTGACCTAGAATAACACTTTCTCAAGTCTTACCTCCTTTACTTGAGATTCATTGACCTATTATCATGGACTCATGTAAATGAATCTCTCATCAAAGACCTCAACAATTTCCATCCTTCCATCAAGCACAGCCTTGATGTATCTACAGAACATGTCCGCATCCTTAATGTCATGGTAAAACTACACAATGGACACATATACACCACTTTGTGCAGCACAGGAAACCTACAGATCACCATGCATACCTGTGTGCTTTCAGCTTCCATCCAGAACGCACCACCAAATCTATCCTCTGTAGCTAGGCTGTACACTACAAGTGCATTTCTTTTAACCCATTTGATAGAGATGCTCAACTGATGGAATTAAACCAGGGATTTGGGAGACTGAAGCATTCACTAAGGGAGATTATGTTCACTCAGTGAGATCAATAGACAAATAAAGAGAGCCAGATCAATTCCCGGAGAAGACTGATTAAAAGACAGACTGCCAAAACAGAACACCGCTGGCTGTCACCTACAGCGCACAGTTCAAGCCACCCAAACACATAATTATAAGGTACAGCCCCTACTGAACAATAAACTACATCTTCTCAGATACTGGCTAGCAGGTGCATAGTTGCGTATAGACAAACACCCAACCTCGCACAGGTTCTCACAAGCAACAAGAAACAACAGAATGATGTTAACATGAGAACCAGTCCCTGCAACAAACCCTGATGTCTGCTTTGCTCCCACATTTACACCAACAGCACCATCATAGGAGGACAACACCCTAAAATAGACTTAACATAGTTTTAAAAAGAAAGGAAAAACTACAATCCCTTTCAAAGGCAAAATACATCCTGCCCTTTCCATGTGCTGGGCATGGTTCTTTCAGGTTTGTACCATCGCCATCCCCACAAACTATTAACTAGCCAGAAATTGCCCATCCGCACTCACCAAAAATGCTGAGTTCTCCATCTTTGCTGAACTGAGCAAAAGGGATGTGAGCTGGTGGCATTTGATAGAGCTTGGGAAGAAAGATGTAACTTTGGGTAGTAATGATCATCATCATCTTCTTCATCCTCACCATCCACCCTCTCTGTTAGATGTACCAATTGGAGATAATTATTACACTTCATAAAATAAGCAATGTTATTACTCTAGTCAAAATGACAAAAGTAACCACAATGTTTTCTGATGTACTGGAGACTTGCTAGTGGTGAGATAAAGGAATATATATGTTTGCACTCCATTTGGTAGGAATGCAGTTCTATTAATCAGCATGGAAATAGGTTTTCCAAGTTATAAAAGCATATATAATCTTTCTCCACTGATTACATTTTAGCTATGTCTTCAAATTAGGGGATAATGCTAGGTAATGTTACCAAATGCATTAATGTGAGTTATTAGTGGAATTGTCTGCCTATTAAAAAGATAGAGTGGAGAAAGGTGTACAAACTGATAGTTAGCTGACGATGAAAAATTATGGAAAGGGAGAAATAAGCCAATAAAGATTTTTCAGGAAATGTTGTCAATGTATATCCAGTACTTCAGCATGCCAAATATGTTATCTGTTATGGCAACCTATTAATACAGTTTATTTGATCTTATACGGGTATAGAATAATGCTAATAATATCACATTATTAGTTTATATCATCTGAATATTTTCCATCTACTTCTATCTAATGTTATGTTGTACAAAATTGAACAAAGAAGTAATTAAAAATAACCCTACTGTATTTTATTGGGTTTTTAAACTATTTATTGCAATTTACAGTATGTCTAAAGAAACTTTCCTTCATCCAATAATTCCGTTTTCATTAGCCAAAATTTCACTTAAACAGAGATATTATACAGCCTTTAGTCAAGACCAGGAAGATACTTAGGTTGAAATCCTGAATGTACTTATCTGAAAGTAAGCCCCATTGAACTAAGTATTTTGAGTAAATGAGTTTAGGATTACTTGAAAAGCTTTATTTGATCTTGGTCTGTATGTTTTAAAAGACCAGAACTTAGAATTTCCAACTCATTTAACACACTGTTAAGAACTACTTACTTACTCATGCATCACTGGCTCAATGTGTTCCCATTAAAGAGAATTTATACCTAATAGCATCCCATTTAAGGAGCAATTGCTGTCCTACAGTGTCATTTGGCTGGAGATGATGCCTGAGACATATTCAGGGATGGTTAATGGGTTGGGGAATGGTTCTCACCTCTGCCAAATCATCAAAAGTCTTTTTGGGTTTCTCTTTACAGGGTCGACTTGATGCCCTGTGGGCTTTGTTGAGGCGGCAGTACGACAGAGTGTCTTTGATGCGACCACAGCAAGGAGATGAGGTTGGTGAACATATGTGCCTGAAGGCTTTTCTTAGCACATAGAAGGATGTGCACATCAGCATCTGAGCTTCCTGGGAGTGCTTTAGAGGCTTAGTGCAAGGGAAGAAACTTCTAATGGTAGAGAGGTGTGTGTGGATCTACCATGAACATCTTGTTTCCTTTTCTTTTGCTGAAACATTCACACAGAATTGCAGTTTGAGTATCTAACTAGAACACCATATTAAATTGTTGTTGTTGTTGTTGTTGTTTAGTCGTTAAGTCGTGTCCGACTCTTCGTGACCCCATGAACCATATTGCGCCAGGCCTTCCTGTCCTTCACTGCCTCCCTGAGTTTGCTC